GTTCCTTTGTTTCCACAGTTGTACTTACTATGGCAATATACTTCCCTTGTGCTGCCACATTGTGTGCAGAAGAAATCATGCAAACATAGATATCTAAAAACAAATGAAATCATCTCATTTCCTAAAGTTTGTAAACCTCAGGCATTTGTATACTTAGGTTTCACCCATATTTCACCCAGGTATGAGTTAAACTTATCTGAAATAGGAAGTATCTTTGAAGCTTAAATTCTGTATAGAAGTAAACAGTCATACATAATGTACACAAATATTTAACAGTGGAAATTGTTAGGTTTAGGTAGCAGTGAATTATTGGACTCTCCCTAAGCTCTGTCATAGTCAGTTGTGAAAAGCCAGGCTAACAACATTTAATTTTCTCCTCTCTGGACTTTGCTTAAGAAAGGATTTATTAAGGACTGATTTTCTTAATTAAATAGAAAACTGCAGATCAGTATAAACTATTCCTGAGTTGACATATTAAACTAATACAATTACAGAGATTCTTCCTGGTCCATATATCACTACAGTAAAGTAAACTGTAAAACGTCTGATATAGAAAATAACTACTAGACTCCCTTTATTCTTTTCACAGTTCCAGGAACCTTCTTGGGAACTACTGAAAGATTATTTTAGTCCACTTCCCTTTGTTCTAGTGTAAGCTGTGATGTGCTATCTAATAGAAGAAAAAAATAAACATAATACAAAGTATCTCTTAATTGTCCATTTGAAAGCCAACAGCTCCCTTTAAGGTGAACTCTAGATAAATAAAAGGTATAAATGAAAGATGCTAACATCTAATGGTTGAAAATCACTCATTAAACAGATTAGGAATTAAGATTTTAAAAGTATTAAGTTTATGAATAATGGGGAAAAGCAGCCGAGTCTCAGTTCAGAAGTTCAGTGTCAGTGGAGTCAGTTCAACTACTAAAGCACAGGTACATAATGTTAGAGATGGGAAAGACTTTCATAGTTCATCCCTAGCCTCTTAATTCTATAGATAAGGTAATAAGGATCCAAAGTGATGAGTATGAGTAAAAGGCAGAATTGGGATCAGAACCCAAGCTCCTAGTTAAATTTCTCTGTTTCAACACAATGCTTCAAGATGGTGAGCTAAAAGAATCACATTTTGTTTCCTATATGTAAAGTGTCTTCATTGTAATACAGCATATAACATTAGGAAGTTAGGATGAAATAACAAAGCAAATTATTCTATCAAAATTCTGCCAACATCTGTGGGTCTTGAAAACTCACCTGACTTTCGGTTGACTTGGTTCTGTGGAATAATAATCTGGCATGAGTTGGCATCGTTGGTGTTCTTGATTGGGTGGCTTAGGATACATATAACTCTGAGAACTTGGCCCACCTTTTGTACCCTATCTTTTACATAACTAGGATCACAAATGAGCTGCTTACAGCGAGCAATCTGTAACAAAAACATTTTTTAAAGACTTTATTATACAATATTCAGTGTCATAACATCTTAAAACAGTGTTATTGATGCCATTTTCTCTGGAGAATAATGTTAACTTTCATAACCTAATAAATGTAAAAGTTAACTGTAGATAGTTAACTAAACTACCATTATAGATAACTACTGAAACTAACTTTGCCAGAAATTCCTACATATTCTTCTTGAACAGAAAACTCTAAATCTTAACGTGAAAACTGTGTTGCATAGTGTTCAGAAGCACACATTTTAGAATTGGGTGGATAAGGGTCCAAACTGGTTCTACTTAACCTCACAGAGTTATTGTTAGGATTCAATGAAATTATGTACATAAGAGCTGTCATAATCGATAAATGTACCTGATATACAGTAAATGCGTAATAAATGGTACAACTTTTGGCAACAGTCCGCAATTACTATCTTAAGGCTATGCTTTCCAAGTAAAACGTTAGCTGCAAGACAAATGGTATAACCTGGCAGATGTACAGTATTATAGTATTCTTTCCTCTCATATCAAAGCCCAAAAGTTTCCTAAGAGGAGGCAGCTGTGTGAAGCTAAGAATGAGAAGAAAGGAAGTCCTACGATAAAAAGGACTTTGAGATATCAGATTAAAGTATTTATCCTTATCTCCTAAACCCTATTGTGTTAAAGGCACAAAATTGTTAAAGGAGACCTACACAATAATAAAGGTTCATATGGCCAACTAATAAAAGTAGATCATTTGGTTCTTAACACCCTTGGAATACCATCAAGCATATCTGTGTGTGTGTGTGTGTATAGTTTTTGCATTTTTTTAAGCAGTTCTAATTATAAGGGTTTATATTTTATGACTTTTATTCTTAGCAATTAAATTACAATGGGATCATAGAGATCATATTAGAAATTAAATAATAAAACAATGGTAGAATCAACTAAGAAGGATGAGGCAATAAGAAAATGCCATAGATAGCAATATGATGTATGTAGTCCACTTGTAGCTTTCAATAAACACAAATGAAAATTCAGTTATTTTTCCATTTTTGCCAAAGAGTAAAATTAACAGAGGAAAATGTTTCACTTACTACATGAAATGTAAGATGAATGTGAATTTGACAACAGCATTGTAGACTCTAATGATAATGGTGAAACAAATAAGCAAAAATTTGGATTATGGGTCTTCAGATCCTAGATCATTTCCTCAAATTTAAGAATTGGTGAGTGAGCACTATAGGTCTAAGGGCAAAAAGTATGGTTTCTCATGCAATTTAGTCATTTAACACGAAAGACGTCATCACACCATGCTTTGCCACAAGAACCTGGGCCTATCCTGTTTTGCAAACAGGACATGTCAGTATTCTTTTTATCTGTTACGATTCTTTCATCTTTCAAATTTTACTTTCTATAAAGTTTTATATGTTCAAATTCTTAAAGTTTTTCACAATCCCTTTGTAATTTCAAAAATAACTTTAAAATACTTAAGAAAACGGGGTGAGGGGTTATAGAAGTCCTTTGGATCCAGATGGTAAATGGTGATGACTATTCTCCCTGACAAATCTGTAGGTTAAATTGGCATTAGTAAAATCTTGTATTGAACATACCAAACAAAATCTGATTGATTTCTTTTATAGTTTCTAATTCATTTAAAGTAGATGACATAGTCGAGATGAAATGAAAAGGGTTATAAAGAAGTTGTCTGGAGGTTATTCATAAAAGATATTTGAACTACAAAAGATCTTGTTAACATTTAAAAATGTAAAAATGCCTATCAGAAGATAAAATATAAAAAGCCAATATCCTACAAAAAGGAAGTGAAATGCTTACAACTAGATCAGTGAACATCATTATAACAAATGGCAGAGAAACTGAAGTTCTCAAGGATTCCATTCTTGGATTAACAATCAAAGCCCCTGGAAGCAGCAGTCAGGAAATCAATCAATGTATTACACTGGGTAAATCTGCTGCAAAAGACCTTAAAAGTATTAAAAAGGGAAGATGGCATTTTTAGAACTAAGGTGTGCGTGACACAAGGCATGGAATTTTTAATTACCTCATATACATGGGAAAGCTGGACAATAAAAAGTAAGACAAATGAAGAATTCACACATTCATATTGTGCTGGTGAAGAATAATGAATATACCATGGACTGCCAGAAGAACAAACAAATCTGTCTTGGAGGAAGTACAGCCAGAATGCTACTTAGAAGCAAGGAAGGCAAGACTTTGTCTTCTTTGGACCTGTCATCAGGAAAAGCCAGTCTCTGGGGGAGAACATCATATGTGGAAAAACAGAATAAGGGTCAGTGAAAAAGGGGAAGACCCTCAATGTGGCTGCAACAATGGGCAATGACTGTGAGGATGGCACAGATTGGGCAGCATTTTCTTCTGTGATACACAAGGTCAGTATGAACTGGAGCTGACTCGATGGCACCTAACAATGACAACAATATCCTACAAGAATTCTATCCCGAGGTGTATTACAGCTGAGAGCTGTGAGGAGAGAATGCCTTGGTTCAAATTCCACCTCAGTCATTTCATGCAGTTGTATCCTTGTGAAAGTTTCTTAATCTAAAGTTATTTGTAAAAAGGAGGTAATACCACTTAGAATTATTATAAGGGATAAATGAGATAATGCACATAAAGTACCTACTCAGTGCTTTATTATCAGGATCTTCTTGCCATAGCCCAGTTTTGTTTTTTCTCTCTCTCAAGCACATTCATCCCCTTAAAGTGATTACCAAAAGGGGAGCTCTGGTGGCATAGTGCTAGAGGCATTTGACTGCTAACCAGAAGGCTGGCAGTTCAACTGACCAGCCACTCCTCGAAAGGGAGATTGGGCAATCTACTTCCACAGTGACACCACCTCGGAACCCAAGTCAAGGATCACTGAGTCCTGATCTCAAATCTTCAGTGAGATCTAACAACTGAAAATACACCCCCTCCAGAAGGTTTCTATCTTGTCACTCAGCTCAGTATTTCAGGTTGAAAAGATAAAGCACAGCTTTTTAGAATTAAAAAAGAATAAAAGAATTTTAAAAGAATTTTGGAGTACATCCTATACTGCAAGAACCATTAAGGGTAGTAACTAAGTCAAATAGCAAATGAATTAAGCATTTTGGGATAAAAGGGAAAGAATGAGTGGGGTGTCCCTATAAAGTGTTTGCAGAATAGCAGCATTGGCATCACCTGAGAGATGACAAGAAGAGACAGACTCACCTCATACCTACTGAATCAGAATATGTACTTTTTAACGAGATTTCCAAATTTGAGAAACACTGTTCAAAACTCCCCGTGTGGATGGCTAGCTACATAGCTACTGTATTTTTATGCAAACAGCATGTGTGTTATATGGTGTCTTAGTCAAATCACACAGCCCCCTCCTGCATTAGTTTCCTATGCATGTTAATGCATTTTTGTGTGTGCACTGTTTATGTGGACATGTTATCTGTGAAAAAAAAAAAAAAAAGGTAAAAAAATATTCAGTATTGGCCAAGTTCAATTTCAACCAATAAGTGTAAGTGGTTCAAAAATGAAATTTAAATGAAGATTTGGGTGGCAGCCAACCCACATAAAGTAAAATACAGAGCATCTCCACAATCGGCAATCAATGCAATAGGAAGCATTAAGATCTGTGGGTTCCACCCCCCCCCACACACACACACACAGATTATAGGGTTTATTGGAGAAGCAACAGGCTACAATTCAAGTGCAGGAACATGCTCAGTCTCTCTCAGCCCGCCGTCATCTCTCAGCCAACAGTCTCTCTCCCAGTAGTGTGTGTCTCTTGTGTGTCTTTCTCAGCAATGCGTGTCTCTCACGTCTCCCAGCTGGCAATGAGAGAGTCCTTCTGCCTCTAGGAGGGCTCCTTTTGAGCTTGGCAAAGTGGCCACATTCACCAATCTCAACATCAGAATTCTATACACCTGAGAGAGAGCAAACTACCAAGAAAATCACTGCTCCCAACAGAAATACCCCAGGTGGATAACTTTAACAATCAGGAGATACTCAGTTGCCCGGCAAATTCCACCATGGAGTTTACAAAGACTTATGGCTAGAAAGCCACACTAAGTAATTTACTACACCACACGGGGTAATCTACTTCTTTTTGAGATCTGTGGATTTTTTAAAACAAAGCACAATATCTGTAACTAGTCACTAGTCTTCAACACCAACTTATTATAAATAAATCATGTAAAGTCTGGAATCTAGCATCAATATTTGTACCAAAATAAGTACTTAGTAGATAATACAATTTTCTTTGTGAGAACACAGTAGTTTTAAATTATAAAAGCTACTCACCTCTCCTTCAGATTTTACACCAATCACTTTTCCATTCTGCACAATGATTTCTTCAATTGGTTTATTCAACATGTAGGTACCTCCATAAATAGCACTTAGCCTAGAAAATTTTTAAAATTCCAATTAACTGTTTCCTTCCTTAAACTTAATAAGTTATAGGCAATACATATTTGCTCAATTTCCTTCAGAAAGTTTTGCTTACTAATAGTTAAAGCATCAATTACAAGACAGACAAGACCACAAACTGAGGAATAAATTAAGTAACTTATACAGTTAACAGATAAGTCAAAATAAGCACTGACCAGTAATGGAGGAGTACCTTATACTGGCCTAATTCTCCCGCACATAAATACAACTGGGGAGAGAGTTGCTTTCAAGAGGCACTGGAAAGCAACTAAAAACAGCAGAAACTGGAGAAAATCAAGACTCCTGAAAGTAACCAAATGGGTGAGATCTAGATATGGCTTAACCTAGAATAAAAGGTTAGTTTAATATTCAAAAATCAATTTATGAAATTCACCAAATTATCAGCAAAGAGAAGAAAAGCCACATGATTAACTCAAGTAGAAGAGATTAGGTTTAGGATTCACCCTATACTGGTAGACTTCAGTTTGATGATTGGTTACATATGTTACATTGTATTTTGGAGAGTCATTACAATTCATATAAGATCACATCACTGGGTAGTGCAAATAGTTAAGTGCTTGACTACTAGTCAGAAGCTTAGTAGTTCAAGCCACCCAGAGGCATCTTGGAAGACAGGCCCGGTGACCTGCAACACCCATTTGTAATAAAAACTGGCAAATAATGAAGAGAACATACTCTTATTTTAAAACTTATAAAAAGTCTTAAAAATATATTTAATAGTAAAATATTGAATAAATTCCCCTGATGACTAGGAATAAGGAGCTGTGGTGGCATAGTGCCTAAGGCATCTGATTGCTAACCAGAAAGTTGGCAGTTTAAACCCACCAGCCACTCCACAGAAGGAAGACTGGGCAATCTACTTCCATAAAGATTCACTACCTCAGAAACCCACAGGGGGTCACTATGAGTCAGAATAGAACTGATGGCAGTGAGTTTGGTTTTTTTGATTGGAAGACTGGGAACAATTAAAGGATATCCATTCTCCCCACTTCTATTCAACATTCTTCTGGAAGTCCTAGCCAATGTTATAATAAAGACAAGGGAAGAAGGGATGCTTAATTTTAGGCTATGTTTCCCAGATGTTTAACCAAACACTAGTTGAGCTGCTATCATGGAGTAGTTATATGAAAATAAACCAATTGGGTAGAATAGATTACCTTCTATAATGTAATCTAATCTAATGTGTAGTGTAATTACATGGCATTGCTGGCAGTTGCCTGTCAAGGCCATTCTGACTCATGGTGACCCAAATGTGTACAGAGTAGAACTATACAGTTCTATACGCGCTATATGGTTTCCAAGGCTGTGACCTTTCAGAAGCAGGTTACCAGGCCTGTGTTCCAAGATGCCTCTGGGTGGCTCAAATCACCAACCTTGTGACTAGTAGTCAAGCACTTAACTATTTGCACTACCCAGTGGCGTGGCCTTACATGAATTGCAATGACTTTCCAAAATGCAATGTAATGTAACTTAACCAATCATCAAGTTGAAGTCATACCAGTATAGGGTGAATCCTAAACCTAACCTCTTCCAACTTACAAAAAAAAGAGTTAATAAAATAGACAAAGACAGGAAAAGACAACCTACAGACTGGGAGAAAATTTTTGAGGACCATATATCTGAAAAGGATGTATCATCCAAAATATATTCTACAATTTAACAAAAAGGCAAAAAATAGGCAAAGGACTTAACAGACATTTCACCAACAAGCACATGAAAAGATGCTCCACATATTAGCCATTAGAGAGATGCAAATTAAAACCTCAACGAGATTCTACCTCACCCCTATCAGAATGCGAATGATCCCAAAATGGAAAAAAAATAGGTTATCTTTTATTTTTTTATTGTGATTTGGGTGAAAGTTTACATGGCGAATTGGTTTTCCGTTCAGCAATCCATACAAATTCTATTTTGTGACATTTATTGCAATCTCCACACTGTAACAGCATTTTGCCCACTTCCTCCCTATGCCCATGCCATCCCACCTTCGTAGCTTTATCCCTGGGCAAACGCTGTCCTCTTGATCTCATATGCTTGATTCTTACAATGAGTGCATACCCTCCTGGTATCACTCTTCACCTTATAAATCTGTCTCTATTGTTTGGCTACCAATTGAGTCATGGGGGTTAAGTTCAGTTCCTAGCTTGAAGGGTGTGTAAGGGCCATAGTCTTGAGAGTTCCACTAGTCTTCATCAGACAAGTGAGCCTAGTTTTTTTATAATTTTGAGTTTTATTTCACATTTTCTCCCACTGCATCTGGGACCTCCTACTGGGATCCCTTTCAGAGCAGTCAGCAGTGGTAGCCAGGCACCATCTATCTAGTTCTTCTCAGGGCCACAAGGCAGGGGTTCATGTGCTCCATTAGTCATTTGGAGTAACTGTTTCCAGAGTCTTTGATTTTCTTTACTCGTCCTTGCTCCAGATGGAAAGAGACCAATAATTTGACCTTAGAAGGCCATTCACAAGCCTTTAAGACCCAAGTCACTACTCGCTGAAGTAGGATATAGAACACTGTTCTCTGGGGACTATGTTATGCCAACTGACCTAATGTCCCCTGAGACTATGGTCCTGATCCTCCATTACCCAGAGACTCATTCCGTCAAAGTGTTTGATTATGATTAAGATGTTTTCATAAATTTGTGCCCCGTATGCTCGAAAGTATCCATTTGTAGCACATATAAATACATAGGTAGAAGAGACTGCCTCTGTCAAACCTATATATATTCATGGGAAAACCATAGGTTTTGGTGAGGTGGTAGGGAAACGAACGCTCATCTGTTGCCATGGGAATGTAAAATGGTGCAGCCACTAAAGAAAACAAGTTGGCATTTCAGAAAGTTGAACACAAAACTACCATATGACCCAGCAACCCCAATCTTAGGTATATACCCAGAAGGTGAAGGCAGGAAGGCAAACAGAAACCCATACACCAATGTTTACTGAAGCACTTTTCACAATAGCCAAAAAGCAAAAACAACTAAAATGTCCATCAGTAGATGAATGGATAAACAAAATGTACATACACACATGGATTCTATTCAGCCACAAAGAAAAATGAAGTCCTGATGCATGCCACTATATACTGAGCAAAATCAGTCACAAAAGGATATATACTATATGATCTTAATTTATATAAAATAAGCAAATATATAAAAACCAAAGATTGTTAGTGGTTACCAGGGACATGAAGGAGAGGAAAAAGGGGAGTTTTTGCTTAGGAGGAATTGAGTTTATGTTAATGGTGATGGAATGAATTAGAATAGGTAGTAAGAATGGTGTGATAAATGTCACTGTATTGTACCTGCGGAAATTAAGTGGGTACACATTTTGTTATGCATATTTTAACTATGATAAAGTAACATAAAAAAAGAAATAAAAAGCATTTCATTATTCATAGCCATATCTCATACCATTATTCACAACCATATCTCATATACTGTTGTTGAACATGAGGTTCAAGATCAGCAAGGTTTTCTGCTAACAAGTTAAATATGGGCTCTTACCTTGCAAAGCCTTGTGGTAGTTCTCCAAGGCCATAAAGTGGATAAAGGTATGGGCTTTTGCCGTATCTTGCCAAAGACTCACTGTACAGTTTAATCCTATTAATGGTTTCACAACATGGTTGATCTAAATAACTGGAGAAAAATAAATAAATATAAGAAAACACTTATTTGCAGGCAGATTCTCTTCCTTCACAACATACCATGCTTAAGTTTGTTTTGTTAGAACTTTCTGTCTGGGAAATTAGGAAATTCACTGAGAGAGTTCCAAGAAAAATACAAATCTAAAAACCAAAAAACTTACTCATCAGTTCTGTAAAGTGCAAGGGCATGACCAGTAAAATCTATAACATCTTGGCCCAAGTCAAATTTCTTATACACATCTCGCATTGCAGTCTTCTTAGGATCAACACCCTCAAAAGTTCTAGGATCTTTTTCATCGAAGTTCGCAACATATACTAGGAATTTTCTGAAGCGACGTTTTTCAAACAGCCCCATTAAGCCTAAAAAAGAATTTTTAAAAAGCACACACTCATAATAGGATACTGAGTAACAAGAAATATATGAGGAAATTTTAAATGGGCCATGTTATTAACTGGGGCTCTTCTAATTCACTGTAAACTATAAGAATAAGTTGATACAATTATAACAGGTCAGTTATAAGGTCTTCATTTTAAAATGTAATTACAAGTTATTACAAACAATAATTAAATGTAATATAAGCCTACTTCCATTTTTAAGTACAAAGTAAATAACTAGTGAAATATTATTATTCATGAAGACATCCATCTGTATGCTCTTCCCTTGATAGCTCAGATCAATTACTTGAAATGCCAGAATTGCCTAGAATTCTCCCATTTCCTTTTCTATACACCAAGACACAGTCTGGAATGTAATAGAAAAGATGCTTGGAATTCAAAAACAAACTGACCTTGATGAGATTTAAATATTGATCATGGTGCTGGTTACTTGCCAGATTATCAGTTCACAACTTTTAATATATTAAAAAGCAGATGAGGAGATAGTGATAAGATACCATTTCATAAATCCTCAGGTCTCCTACTAGTCAGTATTGCTATTAGTAGTATATAGTTACTAAAAAGTTTAATGTTTCAACATATTTTTCCTTTCAATATTTTTATTATTATTATTCCTCAAGACTAATTTATACTTGAAATCAATAAAACTTAAAACAATCATGAGGCTATTAATGGCAGACTACATTTAAATTTTTTAAATTAAGATTTACAACCCAGCTTTAAAAAAAAAAAAAATGGACTGAATATATACACCAAACAAAAAAACCAAACTCACTGCCGCTGAGTCAGATCCAACTCAAAGAAACTCCTCCTTGGGTTTCGGAGGCAGTATCACTACAGAAGTAGATTGCCCAATCTTCATTCCGAGGAATGGCTGGTGGGTTTGAACCGCCAGCCTTCTGGTTAGAAGAAAAATCCCTTAGGTACTACAATAGCAGAGCTCCTGAATATTTACACATAAAAGGCGAAAAAAGAAATATAAGCACAGTCCCAAAGTTACAAACAAGATCCATTCCTAGGTGTGTCTTTTTACATTGAAATTTGTAGCTAAGTTGAAACAGATACATATAGCCCTTATTTAGGCTTATTCTAGTACAAGAAAAGGCTCAAAGTCTTTTCAATTATTTAAAAGAGCAGCAAGTGATTTTTGTGGGTGAGATGGTGGAATAGCCAGACAAGCTCCACAGACACTCTTCAACAAGGACAGGAGAAACCAATTGACAGAGATACAGAAGATAATCCTGGAGCCCTGAGCTTTGAAAAGAAGTGCACAAAAGTGGATGAGGCACCAACTAGTGGAAAAAACAGAACAAAAACAGGACCTAAGAATAGGTTCCGTTTGCCAAGGATGGCAGGGACATGGGAGGCAGACACCAGGAAAGGAGACAGATGGTGAGTGTATAAGTACTGCCAACTAGTGAATAGAGGAACACAGCCCTGTACCCAGCTTACGCAGTGAGGTGTAGTAAATTACTTAGTGTGGCTTTTCTACCCATAAGTCTTTGTAAACTCCAAGGTGGGATTTTCTATGAGCAACTGAGGAGTTCCTGATTGCTGAAGGTGTCCACCTGGAGTATTTCTGTTGGGCGTGGCACAAAACAATGTTCTGGGAGGTGCCCACTCTCTCTCAGGTGCTTAGAGTTCTGATGCTGTGATTGGCTAGTTTGACCACCCTTTCGGGCTCAAAAGGAGGCCTCCTAGAGGCAGAACTCTCTCTGACTGCTGGTGGAGGAAGACGTGCTGCTGAAAGAGACACGGGCTCCTGAGACACGCGCTGCTGGGACAGAGACGCAAGAGACACGCATTGCTGAGTGAGACACCATGGGATCAGCACTGCTGGGAAAGAGACTGTGAGAGACTGCTGGCTGAGGGACGGTGGGCTGGGAGAAAACTTGAATTGTAACCTGTGGTGCTTCCCTAATAAACCCCGTAATCTGTGAGCTCTGTGTGGCCACTGCAGCGAATTATCGAACGCAGGAGAGAGGTGCTAGGTGCTTTGGGAGGAACGGTTGGAGAAAGGGCTGGAGGGGGGAGGCAGCATGTCTGGCCTGGCAAGAATAGGCCTTTGGTTACTGCTGGTAATCCTGTCTTCCTCTTGTGGGGTTAGAGGAGGTCAGAACATGTGGCCTCCTTGCCATTTTTGCACATAGATAACATATAAACAAAAAAAAAAGAAAACAAAAATTGTGAGCAAAACACTCCAACATACAACCACAAATTAAATATAAACAAAAACGGCACAATGCCTCAGAGACAACAGAGCATCACAGTCCACACAAACAAGATAAAGGAGAAATAAGGGACCAGGATACAGACCCAAAACACATCCCTGAGGAAGACACAGCATTAGAACTCCCTGATAAGGAATTCAAAAAAATTATATTTAGGTACCTTCAATGAATTGATAGATAGATCAAGGAAAACACTGACAAAATTGAGGAAAACACAGAGAAAACCGAAGAAAAATCTCCAAAGACAATACAAGAACAAAAGAACAAAATAAATGAAAAATTAGAAATGATACAAAAATCTATAGACATAAATCCAGAAGAGTTAATACTAAATTTTCAGAAATAGATAACTCACTGAACGAGCAAAGCAGTAGATTTGAATCAATGGAAGACAGAATTAGGGAGATTGAAGGCAAATACCTCAATGCTTCTTTGGAAAGGGAACAATTAGAAAAAAAGATGAAAAGAAAATGAAGAAAGCCTAAGGTTCACATGGGATACCATCAAAAGGAATAACCTATGTGTAATAGGAATTCCAGAACAGGAAGAGACAAATAAAACCACAGAGAAAATTGTCAAAGATTTGCTGGAAGAGAATTTTCCTGGTATGATGAAAGGTAAGAGAATATATTCATTCAAGAAGTCCAAAGAATCCCAAACAGGACAGATCCCAAGAGAAAATCACCAACACATATCATTATTAAACTCACCAAAACCAAACAAAAAGAAAGAATCCTAATAGCAGCACAGGAAAAATGAAAAGTTACCTACTCCAAGGGGAAACCAATAAGAATAAGCTCAGATTTCTCCGCAGAAACCATGCAGGCGAGTGGCAAGATGGCAGACTAGGCAGAAAGACTGCACAGACCATCTTCCACAAAGAAAAGGGAAACCAATTAACACAGACACAGAAGATAATCCTGGACCCCTGAGCCTTGAAGGAAAAGATATAGAAGTGGACTAAACCCCAACTAGCAGAAGAATTTGC